GCGTGTGTGTGTGTGTGTGTGTGTGTGTGTGTGTGTGTGTGAGAGAGAGAGAGAGAGAGAGAGAGAGAGAGAGATGTGGGTATTTAAGAGAAAACAACCTGTGAAAACGTGTAATTTTTGACTTATCGATTATTCCCGTTAAACCCAGTACAGTCAGAGAGGGTGGGAAATGGAGGATTTCAGATTTCCTGCCGCTTTTTTACACTTCTGAATACTGGAAGTGTAAGAGAAGCAATAAGAGTTGGATCTGGGCGAGGTACATCAGGGGAGCGAAAGATGGCATAGTAGAGCCTTTCACTTCAAGAAGGCTTTTCCTTAGTGACGGGCTGTTCTCTAAGAGATAACAAACTGGATGGTTTATATTTTGTTGCTTCTAAATCTGCTCGTTGTCATGCTTTTACCCAACATTTTAAATATAATGTTATTAATCTTTTTAAAGATTTGAATAATTTACAGTTTTTAGTTTTTAAATATTGGGTTTTCACTTATGTAAACCGCCTCGGATCCTTTTTTTTTTTTAGGAGAAAGGGAGGGTCATTTTTTAAAAAAACAAATGAAGTGGTAAATAAATGAAGAATCGTAGTCTAATTCTTCATCAAAGAGGTTCTGGCTCTCACATTTATACCGGATGTAAGCTATTTCCACCTCCTCCCCGATCCAGATGTCCTAGTTGCCAATCCTAGATGTGTTGGGCTGGCCATGCTTATGAAGTGAAAAGAAGGTCCTTTTTATCAGGCTGGGCATGGCCGAGCTTTGCTTGTGATGCAGAAACTGGAAAGTCCCATATTCATTTTGGCTAGATGTTGAACCTTCAGAAACTGTATTTGAAGTACATTCAGGAGATGAAGATTCTAAACCCTGAAGAACCTTAAGGTGTGATGGTGGATAGCTCAGCGTCTTGCGTATCTGGCTGCAGAGCCACATGCTGGGAGTTCGCTTCCACACTGGACTTAATGATCTATAGGGTCCCTTCCAGCTCTGCTCTTCTAAGTGTTGTCAGTGTTGTATGAGGTTAGACCAGGATGATCAGGAGGCTGGAAACCCTCTAGGAGGAAAGGCTGAAAGAATTGGGCATGTTTAGCCTTAAGAAAATAAGACAGAGGGGTGATAGGATAGCACGTTTTAAATACTTGAAAGGCTGTCATACAGAGGAGGGGCAGGATCTGTTCTCGATCATCCCAGAAGACAGGGCACATAATAATGGGCTCAAGTTACAGCTGGGAGTGTGCCAACCTCCAGTGTTTGTTCATCTTGACTAGATCACAGCTCTGTACTAAAGTTCCTGAATCCCACTGGAATACTTAACTCTTTTTTCTCTCTCTTTTCCTTTACTCCTTTCCTTTTCTCTTGATGTTGCTAGATTCTTCAGCAGAATTTCCACTCATGAAGCCTGATTTGATCTCCTGGCTTGAGCAAGACCCTTCATTTCCAGATCAGTTAGGCCTGGAGGAAATGGTGTTTACATCGCAGCACAAGTCAGGTGAAGGAATAGAAGCACAAATCCTAAAAGGAGTTGGATTAGAGCAGGGGATGAAGAGGGTACGGCCCTAAAGATGCTGCTGGACTGGAATTCCTTTAAGTCCTCATGTGCTACCCATTATGCACCAGATAGTCATTATCTCTCCAGATATTTATCAACCAATTTATTTCTCCCTTTCTCTAGGCAAGGAGGTCAATCTATCCTAGCCTGTTTGTCTTGTGAAAATGCTGTAGGACATGCCTAGCAAAAAAAGTAGCATATATTATATGTGACATATCACACCTCTTTATCACATATCAAACAAACCCATTTTATCTGTGCTTTTGTGGACAACAGTGGTGCCTCGCTTAATGAGCACTTTGTTTAACGATGAATTTGCTTAGCGATGGCTTTTTCGGAGCGATCTTGCGCTCGATTTAACGATGTTTCCTATGGGCGATTTTCACATAGCGATGTTTGGGACTTTGCTTCGCATAGCGATGACAGTTTGGGTCCCCCTGTTTCGCTTAACGATGGGGTTGACAGGCTCGTGTTAGCTGTTTTTAAATGTTTAAAAATGTTTAGAATGCTCGAAATCATAAGTGCACTTAAACCCTTTGTTAAACTAATTTGACTTTGTTCTGCCTCTTTTTAAATTTGTTGTAATTTCCCCCCTCATTGAAATGCATTGAATAGGTTTCAATGCATTTCAATTGGGGAACTGTGTTTCGCTTAGCGTTGTTTCCTATGGCGATTTTCGCTTAAGGATGGCAATCTGTTCCCATTGGAACGGATTATCCAGTTTCCAATGCATTTCTATGGGAAAACGCGTTTTGCTTAGCAATGTTTTCCCATAGCGATTTTTTTTTTGCACCAATTAAAATCGTTAAGCGAGGCACCAGTGTATAAGTAATTCAGAAAGGCAGGAAAGTAACAAGCCTGTTGACGTTCCTCTTGTTGCTTTGTCTGGACTCTGTTATTCACTTGCCTTGTAGCTGACGCTTTCAAACAATTTTAAAAAGCATGTTAAACACCGTAATGTTCTTCTTTGTAGTCTGTACACATTCACATGTATGAGTCTGTACTAGGTATGTGCCATTTGGATTTTTTGGACACTAACTTCCAGAATTCTGGAAAAATTTCCCCCGAAGGAATTCTGAGAGTTCCACCTGACAGAACTCTACCTTCAGACACACCTGCCTTCCACTCACCTGAGGAAAGGTGTCGTTTGAAGGCTCCATTCCCAACCATGATGGTTCCCCAGATGTTCTTGGACTGCAACTCTTAGAAACCCTGGCTAGCACAGCTAGTGGTGAAGGCTTCTGGGAGTTTTAGCCCAAGAACATCTGGGGACTCAAGGTTGGGAACCCCTGGTCTGTAGGGCGTCGTATAGATGAGAAGTAGGTGCACGTCTATGTTGTGTGCCTGGCCACACGCCTGGATTGCGCAACCAAGATGCATTTGGCACTATGTCAATTAGTCGCAGTTAGCCACAGCATGTTATGCAAACCTTACATATGCCATCTTTTGCCAACCATGCCTCACAGCATTTTGTATAAGACAAATAATAAGGGAGTCCCTACACAGTAGAGAATGCGGACATACATCTGTCTCCATTGACTGAAACAAGGAGCCGTTACATGTGTCTTCAGCTCATCAGACATGTTACTCAACCCATTAACTTGGGTTTGTCTTTATCAGTACTTCCCAACCTTCGGTAACCCAGGTGTTCTTGAGCTGCAACTCCCAGAAACCCTGGCCAGCACAGCTGTTGGTGAAGGGGCTTCTGGAAACTGCAGTCCAAGAACAACTGGGTCGCCCAAGTTTGGAAACCACTGAGATATATTGTCACCCCTGTTCTGTCCCATAGTAATTGCTTCTGTAGTTTATGTGTAACGTTCGCATCCTTCTTTCACCATTCTGCACCAGCTGTGTACAGCTTTTCTTGTACATTTGGTTTACGCAAGGACTTCCCTCTATTATATGAGTGCTAATCTACTTATTGGTGCTTTGATCCAAAAACAAGAGTGGGAATTTCTTTATTAGTCCACTGAAAACATCACACATGTAAGCAATTTTTCGACCCCACACAAGTTTTCATCAGGATGAGCATCACGAACTGGTGCTACCCATATTCCCCTGTCTTTAGATTATGTAGAAAGGACCACATGGGTTTCCACCATTTTCTCTGTTTTGATGTACTGTACTTACTACCTACCAATAGCTTTTCAGCATCTCTTAATGGCCATAATTAAAATCTCTACCTGTCATCCCCACTTAACTGTTAACAGTTCATTAGTGAACCCTGGTAAGATCTTAATGATGCTCATACATTTGCGTTTCTATTACATTGCACTTCCCTTCAGCCTCCAATGTCTAACTACTGAAGTTGTACTCCATGTACTACTACTACTACTACTATGTGTTTCAAGATCAAGTCTTTGAAGTGCCACACAACTATTCCCCTTAAAATTTTCTTTCCACTTTCTCCTGATCAGGTATTCCTGTCGTGACAATCAAGCTGGAACAGGAGGGGAAGACATATGGCCTAGATCAGAAGGAATCTAAATCCTTCCCAGGGACCGCCTCAGGTAAAGTGTGATCTGCAAAGGGCATTTTTCCATGTAGCTGGTTTTTTGCACCAGAGTGGGAATTTCTTTATTAGTCCACTGAAAACATCACATACGTAAGCAATTTTTCGACCCCACACAGGTTTTCGTCAGGATGAGCATCACAGAACTGGTGCTACTCCCATTCCCCTGTCTTTAGATTATGTAGAAAGGACCACATACTGTAAGTTTCCACCATTTTCTCTGTTTTGATGTACTGTACTTACTACCTACCAATAGCTTTTCAGCATCTCTTAATGGCCATAATTAAAATCTCTACCTGTCATCCCCACTTAACTGTTAACAGTTCATTAGTGAACCCTGGTAAGATCTTAATGATGCTCATACATTTGCGTTTCTATTACATTGCACTTCCCTTCAGCCTCCAATGTCTAACTACTGAAGTTGTACTCCATGTACTACTACTACTACTACTATGTGTTTCAAGATCAAGTCTTTGAAGTGCCACACAACTATTCCCCTTAAAATTTTCTTTCCACTTTCTCCTGATCAGGTATTCCTGTTGTGACCATCAAGCTGGAACAGGAGGGGAAGACATGTGGCCTAGATGAGAAGGAATCTGTATCCTTCCCAGGGACCGCCTCAGGTAAAGTGTGATCTGCAAAGGGCATTTTTCCATGTAGCTGGTTTTTTGCACCATGACCAAGTGTTACCATTTTATTATACATTGTATGCTCTAACCAACATGTCATGCAACTAATGACATGGGCTTCCTCCATGAAAGAGTAAGGCTTTTCCTAGTGGCCACTCCCTCCCTTGATGCAGATCCTCCGAAGGCAAATCCTCTTGAAAAACATTGTGATAGACACTAGCTTTGGTGGCTTCTGATGGGGTTAGAAATGTCCATACAAAATTGGTTGAGCACTGCCTGTTAGTTAGATGGCATCAAAGATCTCCATATATCTTTGACTGCCATAGGCTTGGGAGAGGACCAGCCAGAGGAAGGAAAGGCTTCTTCCTTGGTTTCTTGTCTTTCAACATTCCCAAGGCATTTGGTTGTCTTTTCCTAGAGAAGGGATACTTCGCTAGATGGATGTTTGATCTAATCCAGGAGGGCTCTGAGTTTTCGGACTAGGTTCCCCCATGAACAAGACAGAGACAAACATATGAGTCATTCAGGTTTTCTTTGTTTCTTTTCTCTCTAGTTCTTTTCCTTTCACATTAAAAAGCGTGCTGCTTATATACCGCAAAGCGTGCTGCTTATATACCGCCCCATAGCGCTTCAAGCACTCTCTGGGCGGTTTACAATTTAATTATGCAGGCTACACATTGCCCCCCCCCCCACCCGGCTGGGGACTCATTTTTCAGGAGGGCTCTGAGTTTTCGGACTAGGTTCCCCCATGAACAAGACAGAGACAAACATATGAGTCATTCAGGTTTTCTTTCCTCTTTGTTTCTTTTCTCTCTAGCTCTTTTCCTTTCACATTAAGTGGATCATTGCAAGCCAGGTAGTATAAGTGACAGAGGAGGTTGTCTGAAATGTTTGGCCTTTGTTTTTCTTTTATCCCCTTTCCAGAGAACACCATGGGGTGGCCATCTCAATCTCAAACAAAGCGGGTTAAAGGAGAGAAAACTGCTGCTGCCTTAGCATCTGAGGTAGGAGATTCTCCATAATTGCTTGTGGGTTTGTGATGGGGTGTGAAGAAGCCCTCTTGTTTGCATCAGTCAGTTACACACTTGTTGATTTCAATACAAACCTCAGGGTTTGCCGGACCAAGACTACAGAACAATTATGAAATTTGGCATATGTTGGGAGGACTAACAAATGTCGAAATGGGTGTAGTGAAGTGAGCTTCATTCCGATGGCTCTGCACCAGGATGGACTAAATTTTCGAACCTAGGGACAGAGAGATATTTTTCTCCCTGCACTGAAATGGGAGATACCCTTGATTGGAATCCAGTTGTGTATGACACTGATGGGACAATGTCTCTCTGGCACCTTTCAGTTAATCAACATTTCCTAGCATCCCACCTGCCAGTTAAAGATCAGAGGTGGAACTCTTGATGGTTTAGGTTTACTAGCAGTTCCCTCCCTCCCTCCCTCTTTCTTTCTTCCTTCTTTTCTTCCTTCCTTCCTTCTTTCCTTCCTTCCTTCCTTCCTTCCTTCCTTCCTTCCTT